TTGGAACAGGCTGCCCAGGGAAGTGGTTGAGTCTCCATCCCTGGAGGGATTTAAAAGACAGGTAGACGTGGTGCTCGAGGACATGGTATAGATGGACTTGGCAGTGCTAGGTTAACGGTTGGACTCAATGATCTTAAGGGTCTTTTCGAACCTTAACAATTCTATGATTCTATGAACTTGAGAGAGAAAACCTAAAGCAATCCTTGTTTCTTATACGTATGTAGACCCTAATACCAAAGGGATACACACTCTCCGTTCAGGATCCATCACTCTAAGTCTAAACTGAACACACATACAAATAATAAAAACTCATGGGTGCTCTAACAGAGGCCAGAACTCCACTGAAGTATGGTCTAGCACTGGCCAAACTAAACATTGTCTTGACAGTCTTCCAAACATGGAAAGAGTCATGATTGCCAGAGGGCCTCATATTTGAAGTCCTCCCACTCTTTTCTTGGTGTGAAATATCCACTATTTGGAGAAAGTGCTCGCAGTCTTGCTTAGGCAGCTGAGTCTTTCCTCTCAAGACAAGGAAAAGCATTTTAGTCAAGGGGGAGATCGAGCAATAAAGAAGTTTTGTGTCTTACACCTATGGGAAATATGGACTCCGAGCCATTACACAAGACATCCAGTCAATCTTTACAATTATGGTTAATTTTCATTTCCCTTTGTAACATTGTTAGAAGCACCTGGGAGTTATGGATTCCTTGCAAAAGGCTTTGTCTGAATAAGCACGACTCACCTGATTATCAATGGATTTTCACCCATATCTGTCATCTTCTGCTCATTTACACCACAGGTTTCCTTAAACAAAACAGGAATAGACTATATAAAAAAAATAAAATTCAGCATCTCACAAAGATGGTAATTGTGTGTGTATTTTATGCAGAGTATGTCTAACGTTTGCTTAAATAAAATGAAAATGTGCTTATAAATTTATTCCCTGCCAGCACATCCACCACTGCAGTCTGCTACACACACAGAAAAGGAAAAAAGTTGTGAAAAAAGAAGATTTTTTTTGCTTTCAACTGCTTTCATTCAGTTGAATAAAGCTCCCCTCATTGATATATATTTCTAGTAGCTCTGACAGCATTGCAAAACTAAAGCATCTGTGTTAAACCTCAGTTTCATTGAACATTGGCGGCAGCATTTCTTTAAAACTCCAAGATGGTCAGGATTTTGTTTGGTGCTGAAAAGAGCCATATTCCTGTCCTTACTCAATGTGCCCAGATTGTTGATGTTGTCCCTTCCTTCTGACTTAGAAATCCAGAGCTCAGCTGTATAGTGCGCTCTCAAGCAACCAATATGACTTTCATCTGCCATTAAGGATGCAGTTTCACATTACAACTAAAATTCTTTTAGGGTTAGCTGTTGCTATTGAGATAATATAATACACCGCTGCTATGAAGGAGAAGGAAAGAGCCCCATCTGTCATAAAAAGTGCACTTCAGGATACACCCAGCATTTTTGCAGGGCTGTGACCGGGACACCAACATACATACAGAGAATGCACAAACTAAAAGAAACTGGAGCAGCAAATAAAGGCAGCTTCAAAGAAGCGAAATGTTGCAGCTATACAGTTATGAGGAAGTAAGCCTCAAAGTTACAATAGATTTAATTGTAGTATTAGGTACTCCTTTGTGGGTTTGGTCAAGGTTCAGTTCCATCTATTTAGGAGAGTTCAGTAAAGCTTTTCAGCTATGCCTGGTTTTGGCACTAAAATTATTAGAAGTCATGGGGCTTCTGTATTGTCACTTAGCTTTACATATAGAGTAGACCCTTTTACAGTATGCGAACTTTTGGAGTTTAAGAGAAACAGAGAAACAGCGATAGGTAAATTTCCACATACTTACCTCCTCAGAAGTATTAGGAGATCTTTTTCGAAGATGAATGTTGGAATCACTGTCACTGGTTCTGAAATGTATGTAAAAGGAAAGTTTTTAAATTCATAAAGCTAAGTTTTGTTTTAACTTCAAAGAGAGCCACTGCAATTGCACATGCTAGTTTTAAGCTATGCAAAACCAAAAATATGCATTGTTGCGTGTAGTAGAATATGGACTTGAATTTATCAGTAACATGATAAAAAATCACTTTCAGAAAACCTGACCCATGATAAAAAATCCATATGCTCAAATTGGAATCTTTTCTGAAAAGTGGTATCTGGTAGGGTTTTTGCACCTTTGACATCATTGACATTTAAGTGAAAGTACACCCCAGGTTTTATGGCTGTCTATATAAATAAAAAATTGACAGACCTTGCAGGGAACAGAAAGCTTGAAGGAGATAATGGGTTTTACTAAGCAAACTCGTTCAAATTCGTTACAGTGTTATAGTGATAAGCATCAACAAATTACAGTTCATGTCCCACTCAAATACATTACCTAAGAACTAAATTAGAACATAAGAGGGAACAGAAGTGAATGGAGTAAAATTAGCTGAGTGTCTCTGTACTGAGTCTGGCTGGGGTGCAGTTAACTTTCCCTATAGCAGCTCCTATAGTTCTATGCTTTGTATTTGTAGCTAAAACTGTGCTGGTAACACAGCAATGTTTCAGCTATTGCTAAGCAGTGCTCACACAGCACCAAGGCTGTCTCTCCAACTCCCCCGCAAAGGCCAGTAGGCTGGTGGTGGGCAAGAGGCTGGCAGGGGACATAGCTGGGACAACTGACACAAACTGACCAAAGGGACATTCCATACCATATGATGTTGTGCTCAGCAATAAAATCTAAGAGACAGGAGGAAGCTGGCAGAGAGACGCACATACACAAACACACTCGTTATTAAGGCATTTGTCTTCTGAAGCAACCACTACGCCTACTGAGGCCCTGCTTCCCACTACGCCTACTGAGGCCCTGCTTCCCAGGAGGTGGCTGGACATCGCTTGCTAATGGGAAGTAGAGAGTAAATCTTTTCTTTTTTTTTGTTTTGTTTTTTTTTTTTTTTGTCTCCTTTTGCTTCCACATGTGGCCTTTGCTTTTTTCATGAAACTGCCTTTACATCGACCCATAAGTTTTTCATCTTATTTTGTCCCCCCATCCTGCTGAGGATGCAGAGTGAGAGAGTGGCTTGG